TTCAATACAAAGCCCTACTATTCGCTTATACGTATTTCATCCTCATGGATGATCATAGCGAACTTCTGGTAAGCTTTATAAATGCAACCAAATGTCACAAGTATTAGTAATTCACGAATGGAGTAGGTACCTACTCGAAATTGGTTCGCGAGCGGTTCTTGCCTAGATGAAGTGTTGTTATGACAAACGTAAGAAATTTCCTGATTTCTATCGTTGTTAATAAATGTCGCTGCAGCGTCTGTGTGTAATTATTTGTAAATAATTAGGGTAAAGTGGGGCAAGTGCGTACCCGGGGTGAGTGCGTTTGGACTAAATAAAAATCTTTGTAACGTGAAGTTGGGTATGAAACCGATTTTAAATTCAAGTATTAAACGAAACAGCTACACACATGAGTGGCAACGTCGTTGAATTCACCACATAGTAGCACACGTGTTTGTTGGTAGTTACGTTTGAGGTTATACAAAAAGCAGGTGTTTTTTCTTAGTCTTGTTAATCTCGTACCGCTTACTAGATTTTAATTTTTATTAAATATTTTCGGTTAGTATTGCAGAAATTTGAATTGTTTATACAATTTATGTTTTTTCGCTATAGTTTGCTAGTAATTAAAAGGTGCGCATTTTCCCCAGAAATTTATCACATGGGCAAGTGCATTTTGTATGAAGGGGCAAGTGCGTCCTTACCTTAACGCACTTGCCCCGGCATAAAATCTGAATACAATTTTTTAATTCTTAGGTAGAGATGGTCCGAAATTACGTCCGAACGACGGAGAGAGGTTCGCAATATTCATCAGAAGCCCTTAACAATGCCTTAATGGATATAAGAAATCAGAATTTCACTGTCAAGGGAGCATCGCGCACATACAATATTCATGTGACAACATTACGGGATCACTTGAGTGGAAGAGGCGCGGAGGGATCAGGACAAGGTCGATCTACCGACATTCCGTTGGCAGAAGAAAGGCGATTGGCAGAAAGTATTCGCACGATGAAGCAATGGGATTGGGTTTGTCCCGTCAAGAAGTTTTAGAATTAACCCAACAGTTCGTCCAATCAAACAACTTAAAAACTCAATTTAAAGATGGTAGACCAGGTGAAGACTGATTCTTAAATTTTAAAAGAAGACATGGGCTGTCAATAAAGAAACCGGAAATAGTTGAGTTTGCAAGGAAGAAAGCCATGAGTCCTTTTATTGTTAAAGATTATTTTAAGTTATTGAGCGAAACCATTCAATCTTTGGGACTTGCTGACAAACTTGGGAGAATCTACAATATAGATGAAACAGGATTTTCGAGTAACCCCTCTATAACAAAAGTTGTTGGGAAGCAATAAGCACCATGCACAAGAACCACCAGTGGACCGGGAAGGGAGAACACTACAGTGGTGATGGCAGCAAGCGCTAGTGGCGAAAAAATTCCTCCATTAATCGTTTTTAAAGGCAAAAATATCTGGGATGAATGGATGGCCGACGAACATGATGCCTTCTCTGGTACTGCTTATGCCGCTACTAACAATGGCTGGATTAAAGCTATTGTATTTCGCAACTGTTTTGAGCGTACTTTTGTAAAAAAACATTGGTCCTGATCTACCTATACTAGTTATCTACGAAGGACATTCAATCCACCTACGGCAGATTTGGTCTTAAAGTTATCAAAAATGGATTTAAGAAGGGAGGTATCTTTCCATTTGATGATAAAGTTGCACCCGAAGATCGTTACGAGGTTTCTTCTTTAGGGCGATGGCAGATTTTAGCGGACGTCAGAGATCAGCGCCAAGAGACTTCTCTGCATGTGACAGATGTTGCCACCTTCGAGACAAACTCGTGAGTATCGTATTTCAACAATATGGAAGTAGGATTTTAGCGAGCTACTCTCGTAACCTTATGATTTTTTTCTGTTTTTCAGATGTCCAGTATCTTTTGAATATCTAATACAAACCGAAAAAGTGGAACACCAACTCCAGCAAAAGAGAAAAAGCGAATACACGATGAGTCTGAAGGTAGCGATTTCGTGGGCCAGATTTCCTTCGAAGAAGAAGATGACGAGAAGGAACTATTTCTTGGTTCTCCGCCTGAATTTTCTGTGAAAGACTGGGTTCTGGTGGCTTTCAAAAGCCAAAGTCGGGACATAAATGATATTTTATACATAGGCCACGTGATTTCTCTCACTGAAAGTGATACCCAGGTGAAGTTCCTGGGTATCACTTCACTGAGAACAAAGTGATTTGTTTTTCCTCAGGTGGAAGATATATCCCTTGTGGCAAAAGAGATATCCTTGAAGTTTTACCAGCTCCACATGTTAGGAGAGGAATGCATAATTTCAATATTAAGTTTCCGCAAGATATACAACGTAAATTAAGATAAACTGTACAATTTTTGCATTTAAAAAAGTACTTTCTCATTTTTTGGTGTGTCATTAGACCCTTCTGAAGTTATTTTGTTTTCAAAATTACGAAAATAAAAAAAAAATTAGAAGTGCTCGGAAAAGCCTAGTAAATAAGTGCACTTACCCCGTAATTCAACACAAGGGAACTAAAAACTATAAAACTATATCCGTGAGACGCACTTGCCCCAAACTGTCGGGGCAAGTGCGCTACTGCGATATGTAAAGGAAACAATTATAATTAATAATCGTGAAAAGCCACATATTTGGAATCTTCCCTAAATAAAGATCATTGTCAAAGTACTTGGTGCACTTATTCTCGATTTGGCAGAAATACCCCAATTAAAGCATTGATACAATTAAAACTAAATATGAATAAAAGGGGGCGCACTTCCCCCACCTTACCCTACTAATATGACAAAAAGATTTGGTTTCTTGCATAGAGCCTACCACAAGTTCGCTCGATTAATTTATAAGAATGAAATACGTATAAGCGAATAGGGGTCCTCTGTATTAAAATTAAATCTTAATTGTTCTTATTTTCTGAAATATACAAGCTTATAAATGATAAATGTTTTAGAGGCTATAAACTTCGTTTTTAAATACCGTTTATACCAGCGGACACCTACCTAATGGTTGGTGCAGTTCATTGCTCATAGCCTTTTTTAAGAAGACAACAGCAAAAACCTGTGCTGATTACAGAACCATCAGTTTGTTAAGTCATCCAATGAAAATTTTTCTAAAGGCAATTATGGCCGTATCTATAATAAATGCGAGTAATACGTAAGTGACAAAAAGTTTGGTTTAAAACGGGTTTGGAACGAGAGATGCTTTGTTTGGGATAAACTTACTTGCTCAAAGATGTCATGATATATCTGTAGACATGCACTGTTGTTTTATTGACTTCCAAAAGACATTTAATTGCGTTAAGTACTCTATATTGATCGAAGTTCTAAGAGACATTGGCTTGGATGGCAGTAACGTTCGCATAATTGCAAATTTGTGTTGAAATCAAGCAACATCCGTTAATATCAGAGTCTTAATTTTAATTTTAAAAGAGAAATATGACGGGGATGCCTCTTGTCGCCACTGTTTTCCAACGTTTACCGTAAAGAATTTTGAAAAATGCACTTTCGTGAAAACAGGAAGGTATAATTGTAAACGATGAAGTAATCAATAATTTCCGATATGCGAACGACAGTGTTCTCCTAGCTTCTACTCAAGAAGATTTGTAAACATAACTTGACAGTGTCGTTGACAGCTATAAAGAAGCAGGTCTGGATCTGAACATACAGAAAAACAACATACTCGTAATAAGTAAACAACAGAATATAAAACTGTGTATATACGTTAATGGTACCAAACTTATAGCAAGTTGATCAAATTGTTTACCTTGGATATTAGTTGTATGGTAACGCAGAGAGTCACGGTGAAATTAGATCCAGAATTGAGCAGGTCAGAGCCGCTTTTTGTAGAATATCTAAGAGTATTATATAACAGAGACCTAAAATTGGCATTGCGGATCCGCCTGCTTTGTTACTATGTTTTCTCGGTCTACTTATGGTGTTGTTAGACTATGAATAAAAGTAATCTAAATCGCCTCGAGGCTGTTGAATTGTGGTGCTATAAAAGAATTGTAAAAGTTTCTTGGGTATAAAAGATTCGAAACTCCACGATACTAGAACGTCTCAGCAAGATTACTGAGATTATAAAAAGTATCAAGAAGAGAAAGCTGAAGTACTTCGGACATGTAATAAGAGATCCCAAATAAAGGTTGATACAAAATATTATGCAAGGTAAAATATCAGACAAAGGACGAAGAAAGACTTCATGGTTGAAGAACTTCCGAGATTGGTATGGTATTGATACAAGCATGGTATGTAGGGTCGCAGTGAATAAAATTAAGATAGCTATGATGGTAACCAATGCTCTAAAAGACATTTTACATGAAGAAGAAGAAGTAGCAGAAGTGCTCCAATCTCAAACCTACCGACTCAATCATTTTCTTTAGTTCATTATTTTCTCTTATCCATCTGGCACACTGTACAAGGATTTGTGACACGGTGTGTCACAAACACTTGCTCCACAATATAGACACTTATCCGATTCGGAATTTTTGAACCTGTGCAAGTAGCTACATAAGCTCCCATGGCATGTGAGCACCTGCGTCATATAGCAGTCTAATCGCCTGTGCCCGCAGTCCAGACAGCTCAGTAGATTCGGTATCAGCGAGTTCGTCCACTATGGATGGGGCCCTCTCCTCGCTTCTAACGTTCCCCCCTTCTATCTACCTATTTCTTCGCTGAAAGATCCCCTCTTAACATGTAAGGAGATACAGCGGTGATTACTCGCAGAGCAGCAGCAGACACAGTCCTGTAAGCACTTGCTACCAGCAGACTAGTTCTGTCCGCGAGTACGAAGAGCCTCTTGTACGCCTGTCTTTCCACAGCCGCACTCCATTACCCTTGGTCCTATTAATGCTTGGCTCCGTAGTGTAGCCCTTAGACCACACGCCCGTTTATTAGCTCCCACAAAGATACTATAATAGAGCCATAGAATGAGTTGAATTAACGCAGTAACAGAACAGGATTACTTTTAAGTTTAATAAAGAAAAAACCAACTTAATATCACGATTTTAATATTTTATAACAACTATGAAAATAATTTATTCGTTATGCTAAAAATACACTCTTAGGTTGTGGTTTGGGCTTGGGCTGATGGTTGAGGTTGTGGTTTTGCTGGTAATAGTCCTATCTGTTGTAAGCACATACTCGCGGCGGCTGCTTTAGCTTCTTTTTTATTGTTAGCCGCTACATTTGGTTTATATTCGACACCATTCAAGACCACCTAAAAAAAAAAGATGTTTAGTAGTAGGGCACGGCTTAAAAAGACTTATAAGCTTTAATTTTTCATAAATAGATGCTAGTGTGCATTATATTTACTGAATCAAAACAATTACTTGTAAAGAATATAATAAAAGTGTGCAAACTCTTCTTCTATTGCATAATGGTTAGTTTATGTGAAGTGATTATGAATGTTAAGAGCCTCCAGGTTTTTACTCAGTGAACTTTCTGTAATCTCTATTGATATATGTAAAAGTTTTTGTAATCGTTGATAGGTACTTTAAAAAATCTTTGGAAACAAAATACTCGCCTATTTATTTCTGTTCCCGTTTCTATAACCGCTTACCTTAAATAAGAAGTTCTTCTTATGATCCGGACCACATTCGAATTCCAAAATATACTGCGGTGCCCCCAACTTCTTCTTGGAAGCATATTCTCCCAGTAACGATACCGGATGCTTCCCGAGGAAATTTTTAATGCTACCCTGTATTTTGGGTTTCTTTTTGTGCTTTTGCTCTTCATTGGCGACTAGTCCCTTTTTATCCAGCTTCACTTCCAATAGCAAAGGTTCCAACGTACCGGTTCGGTCCTTGCCCAATCCTTCTCCAGGCTTCCAGCCCATTTTTTGGAGTAGGTGCATACCCATGCCTCCTGACACGGGAGCTGCAGTTTGTAGTTGGTCCTGAAGATTTTGTAGATTAGTTCTAGTTCGAGTTGACAAGTCCAAATGTATTAAGAATAATATAAGATATAAGAGTTCGTTACAAGAAAATATTAGTATGGAACAAATAAATGAAGATGTATCAGAATTGTCGAAAGTATTTTTTGAGCAATTATATTTTGTATAATGACAGTAAAAGCCATCAACTGTATTGGCAGATAATGTATTTCATGAATAGTCTTAGATTAAATTGATCCTTTCAGAGTTTACAAGTCACCCTTCTCTTTATATTATAAACTTCTTTGTTATGCCAATATTTGTTGCAAAGTTTATACTACAACTGAGCATTTACGGCTATAAGTTTCTTATTACCACATGTGTTAAAAAAAACAGTTTCAAAAAATAGTAGATCGCATAGTCATAAAGTGATGGTCACTTTCTACTTTGTACATTTGTTAGAGAGAAGATTCCAGATGGCACTAAGAAAATGTTAATAATTTTTAGGATAACCTAAAATTAATTTAAATCTTTCCGATTTTCGAGTAAGACCTGATTTATACACATTATACAAGTAAAACAAAATGATGTTTCTATCATCTAGGTTTAAGATATCCTGCGGCCAAATCTAGTTTTTCTTGATGTTACTCAAAACGATTCAAGCTTGGTATTAATTAAAATCATAAATGTGTTGCCTGTGTGAGTTCATTTTAAATAGGTAAAAAGAAATAAAATAAGACTTGCTCACAATCAATTTAATTTTACCACCAAAACGACCGGTTTCGCATTCTACAATATGCTATGCATCTTCAGGTCTAACGGTATCAGGTAAATTAAGGTCTAAATGTACCTGGTAAATTAAATGATGGTGAAAAATCATTTACTTTACCTGGTACCGTTAGACCTGAAGATGCATAGCAAATTGTAGTATGCGAAACTGTTCGTTTTGGTGGTAAAATTAAATTGATTGTGAGTAAGTCTTATTTTATTTCTTTTTACCTATTCGGTATTAATTGTTTTCGGTTAAATAAAAAGGCAATAAAACAATAAAATATAAAATAAAGCATGTTATTCCACCCTCATGCATCACGAATTCCACCTCAGCACGCCACAAATTTCATTTTTGTTCGAAGATACTCTTTCACGACTTCTTACATGTCTACCTAAATATTCCCAGATATGCTGAATAGGATCTTACGTAGAAAGCATGCTGACATATTTAATTTCTCCATTTTCTCTTCTCAAATATCAAGTCTCAACTTTCAATAAGAACAGGAGTAAGAAACAGACAACCACATGTAATGATGACAGTAACATTCTCCTGTTAGTGAGTTCATAGTAAATCATGAAGAAAAGACCAGGAAAAAACTCATAATACTATCCCGACATGGTAAGTATTTGGTCTTGCCTTTAGTTTACTCTCAATAAACACTAAACTTGGAAACCGGAGACCGATGGAACAAAATTCTTATAAGTTGGAGACCGTGGGAATATAAACGAAGCAGAGGAAGGCCCCAAATGAGATGGGCAGATGATATCAAGAAGCACGTGGACTCTAGGTGGACGACTGTAGCGACAGACAGAGAAGAATGGAAAAGGATTGGGGAGGCCTATGTCCAAAGATGGACCGAAGAAGGCTAATTAGATAGAAACACCAAACTCTGATTATATATGTATGTTATTTAAAAAACACAAATGATGTATCATCGATATGTTATTGACTTACTAATAGTGGTATTTTCTTTTTATTGATTTCCTTTTTTATTATGGGCAACCAGATCCTACTGCATTTTTCCGAGGAATTTGCGACGCAATTGGTCTCATTAAGCATAATTAAAGCCACTACTTTGATTTATCTCTTTTTGACATCTATTTCTCTTAGGACCATACTGAAATCGTTCCATTTAATCCTGTTCTAACTTATTCTAGCACTTCACCTTGATGTTTCATCATCATCATCTTTGACTCGACAATCCTCTGTGGATCCGGCCTGCTCTAAGATTAGTCGCCATGCTGTTCGGTTTCTGGCAACGTGTTGCCATCTTCTGATCTCTAGTATCCCTAAGTCGCATTAACTCTGCTGTCTTCTTCTTCCTATAGATGTTCCTGTTAGTTTAGCAATCATGTTGTAAGGCATTCATATTATGTGCCCGGCCCATCTAAGTCGCTGTGTTTTAATGAACGTTACGACATTTGGTTCATTAAAGAGTTGGTATAATTCGAAATTAAATCTTTTGTGCCACTGCCCTTGATCGTTTATAGGTCCAAATATTTTGCGGAGTATCTTACACTCGAATATTCCCAGAAGTCTTTCATCCTTCTGCGTTAGAGTCTATGTTTCCGCCCCTTATGTGAGAACCGGCCTCAGCAGGGTTTTGTATTTAATAATTTTAGTTTGGCTTTGGATATTTCTTGAGTGGAATTGTTTTTTTAGTCCGGAGTACGCCCTATTTGTAAGGTTTATTCGTCTTTTAATTCGCTATGACTTTCCAACGCTGTTTCCTGTTCTCGATTTGCTATAGGATCATTAGTAACCAACAAGTATTTGGTTTTGTCATCGTTGATGACTAGACGATCTGTTTCGCCGCCGTTTCCAATTCTAGAAAATATTGCTCAACATCTCGCTTGCTACGCCCTATTTTGTCAATGTGATCAGCATATGCTATTGTAAATATTACCGCCGTCTCTAATTCGGGTGTCTCGAACTGCCTTTTCCAAGGCAATGTTAAATATGAGGCAAGTCAGGGCACCCCCTTTCTGAGTCCATCCTTTATTTCAAAGGATCGAGAATTTTCTTCCTGTATCCTAACGGCTTTTAAGTTAGAAATTGTCATTCTAGTTAATCGGATAAGTTTTTCTGGTATACCAAACACGCGCATTGATTGGTATAGTACTGTCCTCTTGGCACTGTCGTATGCGGTCTTGAAGTCGACGAATAGATGATGGGTTTCAATGTTAAATTCTAATGTTCTCTCGACGATCTGTCTTATTGAACGAATCTGGTCAATTGTTGATTTTTCTGGAGCAAATCCGGCCTGGTATTTTCCAACTATCGCAACTGTGTAATCTTGTAGCCTTTCGTAGATAATATTTGCTAGTATTTGGTAAGCAGCTGTTAACAGGGTCATACTTCTGTAGTTGTATCACTGGAGCTGATCACCTATTTTATGTAACGACAAGAAGTAAAAGTTTATGCAGTGCTTGTAGCATGGCGTCACCACCATTCTTGTAGAGCTCCCTATAAATTTGATTAGTTCCTGGTGCTTTATTCTTTTTAAGCGTTTTAATGGTTTGGGCAACATTTTCAGTGGTAGGTGGTCTTTCGTTTGGGTTGAATAGATTCAAATCATTCCGATCTGCTACGATGTTATCTGCTTCTTCGATATAATTCAACCAGGCAGTTAAAATTTGGGTCGAAAAATTCAACCCATCAGTTCAAGATTGAGGCCGTATCACTTAGGATATTTCCTTCTCCATCTTTACAGCTCCCTATTGTTGGCTTAAACTCTTTATTCATTTTGTTCACATTTCTGTAGAACTTTAAAGTTTCGTGATTTCTTAGCCATTCTATGTTTTCTAACTGCTTTTCTTCAAATTGCCATTTTTTCTTCTATGTAATCTTTTTCTTCTCTTCTTAGGTCCGGTATTCCTCCTTTGCTCTTCTTGTGTATCTAGCTTCATTTATATTTAGGTATGCTTTATTTTTTGATCTCTTGCTTTTTGGCACTCCTCCAATATTTCCGATCCCTTCTCAGTTATGTTTCTACATTTTGTCCACATTCTTCACATTTTCCTACGCTCCCAGGCTCTCTATTTCCTCATTAATTTGTCTCCTATACTTTCTCGAAACGGTTTCAATGAGCAGATTATCAACATTAATTCTGTCTTGTTTCATATGTTTATTCTTCTTTAGGATTGATATTCGTGATACTTGATACCTTAATATTTCACCTAAATAAAAATGATCACATTTACAAGTTATTTTATAAATACAATTTTTTGTTTTTTCTTGTTCATTGTTGGTTTAGTTTTAGATAAAATAGATCTCAATGTGTTGTTTTGAATGTTGTTGAAATGTTAAATATATCTTCTATAAATAAATGATGCTTTTATGTTTTTTCCTCATAATTTACTATGGAATCCCTAACAGAGATTTTAACACATACTATGATTTTTTTAACGGGTGTTCTCAAGTTAAAGTTTCATGTAATCGAATGAACTATCTCACAATAAAGTCGTCCCAGAAGTGCAACTCAACAATATTGGTAATATAATTTTAAAGCATCTACTTTAAAATGTATAATATATATGCTTGAATTGTCAATATGAATGAGTCAGATAAAATTAAATTATTAGAAGAATTTTTCACGAAGTTACAAAAAACAAAATTTGTTTAATTTAATAATGTTTTATATTTTAAAAACGATTTCCGACGTGGAAGCCCAAACATCAAAAATAAACTTATTTTATGCTTAAACGGTGGCTTATTCTTAATAAAAATAGTAATGCCATTGAAGATCTTCCTCCATGACTAAGACGGGATCTAAAAGTACACTCATTAAAGCTTTCATCCGATCGCTTTAAAATGTAATTCCTACCAAATCAAAATTATGATTCGTTCGTACGCATAACATATTGCCATTAGACATTATTACAATGCAGATCTTGACGAACAAATATCAATCTTGTCAATCGTCAACGTCTAAGCTTCATTGGACCATTAGCTAGTCTGCACGTCTTTAACCCAGCTTCGTTTAAACGAGTTTGAACGAAACTTAAGTAAAAACAATGAACCTGTTATCAACGTCGAATGTCGTAAATTTACGACCACTTTCAGACCTTCGTTCATTGCTGCTCGTTTCTCTAATCGCTCTAATGACTGACATTTAATTATCTCGCGACATTGATAATTTCGTCCCTCTTCTAAAGAGCTAAGGCATTTCATTATTAAAAATTTTTCTCTAAAGTTCATAATGTGTATACAGTGCTAGTCAAAAGTCCGTTGCCCCCTCGTATCTTTTGAA